ATCAGAGACCATGCTTCGGGGAACGCCATGTAGTTTAACTATCTCTCGGAAATAGAGATCAGCCACTTGTGACGCGTCGTAGGTGGTGACACACGGAATGAAGTGAGCCATCTTCGAGAATCTGTCCACTACCACCATGATTGAGTCTTTTCCTTTTTGAGTTCGGGGCAGCCCGGTAATGAAGTCCAAGCTAATGTCTTCCCATGGAGCATAAGGGACGGGCAGTGGTAAGTGTGCTCCTTGTGGCAAAGCATGAGCTTTTGCAAGGTGGCAGGTGTGGCATCTCTTGATAAAGTGTTCGATGTCTCTTTCCATTTTTGGCCAAAAATAATGTTCCTTCATCATCAAGTAGGTTTTGTTGATTCCAAAATGACCAGCTAAGCCGCCTCCATGGATTTCTTCTATGAGGGTCTCTCGTACGCTGCTCTTTGGAATGCACAGTTGATTTCCATGGAAAAGATAACCGTCCTTGATGAGGTAGTCTCCATAGGGCCGAGAGAGGCATTGGGCATACACATCCTTGAAATCTTCATCTTCTTGGTATAGTTCCTGCAAAATTTCAAAACCAAGAATTTTGGTACTAAGTACCATTAGTAAAAAATGCCTTCTTGACAAGGCGTCAGCTCCTTTGTTCATGACTCCATTCTTGTGTTTGATTGTGAATGTGAAGGTCTGAATGTCCTCGACCCATTTAGCATGGCGGGGTCGAAGTTTATGTTGCCCTTGAATGTACTTCAATGCCTCATGATCAGAATGCAGAATAAACTCCTTTCCCACAAGGTAGTGTCTCCAGTGTTCGAGGGAGCGAACTAGCGCGTAAAACTCCTTGTCATATGTGGAGTAGCGCCTCCTGGTCTCATTTAACTTTTCACTGAAGTATGAAACTGGATGTCCTTCTTGAGATAGGACAGCCCCAATGCCAACTCCTGAGGCATCACATTCAACCTCGAATAGTTTCTCAAAACTAGGAAGGGCTAACACGGGAGCATGCGTCAAGCGTTCCTTGATTGCTTCGAAGGCTAGTTGGGCTTTAGGATTCCATTCGAACTTCTGATTTTTCGTCAAATCCGTGAGGGGGGCAGTTATGGTACTGAAATCCTTCACAAATCGCCGGTAGAAAGATGCAACTCCATGAAAACTTCTAACTTGCTGCATTGACGTGGGAACGGGCCAGTCCCTTATGGCCTGAGTCTTTTTTTTATCAACTTTGATTCCTTCACTCGAGATGAAGTATCCCAAGAACTCCGTTTCCTGAGAAAAGAATTGGCTCTTCTCAAGATTCCCGTACAGCTTCTCCTCGTCTAACTTCTTAATCACCAAAGTGAGGTGATTAATATGCTCCTCTTCGCTGCGACTGTAGATCAAGATGTCGTCGAAGTAAACAACGACAAAGTGACC